GTTAACTACGGATTTTACAGTGGTTCCAGTCAGAAGCAAATTTAAAGATACTGATAGTCAACTACATATAATCAATCGTGTAAATACCGTTGCACTTATCAATTTTAAACAACTTCTTTTTATGAACGAGATTCATTCAAAAACGTTTTGATCTGAGCTGTACCTGGTTCTTGCCGGCATGTTCCATCACTTTTTCATACACAACTTCGTTCATCAACTGAAAGCGCTTCATGGCCTTCTTTTCAGTGACGCCGACATATTCTTGTTCAAGTAAAACTGGTCGATATGAGTTGTCGAAATAGAAAAGGTTCTTTTTGTCGACTCGAAGGAAGGTCGCCACATCTTCGTAGTTAGGTAGTGTTGCCGACAACCCAATCAGACGCACCGGATCTTGTAGCTGCTCACTTTGGCGAAGAGTACTAGAAATATAACAAGCACAATGATAAATCCCTAGTATAGTAGTTGATGCAAATCACAAGTCATATTAAGAGAGCTAAAAAACAGTCTTCTTCCTACGTGACTTCTTAAAGAACAAATCAATGCTCTAAGTTTAAATTGGAAAGCTATTATACAAGGGAAGCTATTATAGAAAGCGGGACAGGTTTTGCTATCTTGTGTATCGCATTTATTTGTACAGATTGCATTAAATGATAGAGCTAGCGACAGTGTCGATTATATGCTTTAAAACTCACATTCAGCTGAGTCACGGAATTTAAGTCAGTGAGAAAGTCATAGTCAATTAAAGTAATACACTGCAGGATAAAAGGAGATTTACTAAGAGTATCCTATCAACCACACGCCCCAACAATTATCACTGACCATCAGTTCAAAAGCCACAAAGCACTTGTCAATGACCGCTTTGCGATTCAAGAAAAAACAAAAACTCCCTTTTACCCAAGTTATTCCATCAGGTCCTATCGAATGGCCAAGGCCCTTCGACAAACGGATAAGCCTTATGGTTTCAATTCCAAGCAGCAGTAAGGCCAGACTAAACTATGCATATAACGGAGCAATCTGGTTCGTGGTCTATTCTTCGGATATCTTCCATATGACTGCGCAAAATCAGCGACTGTGACACTCCCTCCTGTTGCATATTCATCGTGTGTTGAAAAATCTCAAACGTGATCTCTCAATCTGGAAAAGAAAAGGATTACAATCGAGAGTATCTCCGATATCTTTGGTACATCTAATTGCAGTTCTAAACTTTGCCGGTCTACCACCACCATCCAATCCTTCAGAGAAAGTTAATTTCTGCCGCTTAAATTTGGAATGACATTTTTTTAAATATCAAACACTCAAAACCAGATATGAGAAACAGTTTCGCAGAATAATGCAACAAAGAATTTAGCTGGTAAACACTCTAAATAAAATTCATAAAAGAGCAAAATTAACAGTTCAGTTATGCAATGCAGAGATATATTAACTATTTAAGGCTCTTACCGAGCAATCAGCGCCTCCAGTACTGGACCGCGATCATCGTGGAGAAGATGTATCTCGTCGAATATAATAAGGCGCACCAACTGCAGGAAAGAACGTTCACCACCTTTACGAGTAATAATGTCAAATTTTTCCGGGGTACAAACGATCACCTGCGTCGCCTGGATTTGTTCTTTGGTCATCTGATGATCACCGGTCAATTCGTCTACTTTCAGATTGTATGATTCGAGGCGCTGAAATATAATCGAAATTTACTAAACTAGAATAATCATTACATTTAAAACTGTTTTCGATCTTCAGCCAGCAATTTAACGATTATCCGCCTCGGAGATTCACAGGTCGAGCGCAATTTATTTCTTATGATATTTTAAATTCCTCACGCACAAGTTCTGTAAATCATGTGCATGTAAAAAAATGAATTAAGTAATGACTCATTTAATTATTCCGAACAAATTAGAAAATATTTTTAATCTCGCTAGAGAAACAATCCGACAGATGGTTTGATTTAATTTCGCTTTAAAATAATAAACCGTATCGATTCCAAGCGAAAGTTGAGGCAAGCATTAAGTGTAATAGTCTGATACAACAATATTTTAATTCAAAAACTCGTTATATACAAAGCAAAGGATGAACTGCCCAATGGGTCGAATCTACTTGTTAAAGCAGCCAGGTTGAACGCTCATGTGCAGGGTGAATCGAGAAATTTTTAAACGCTGCAGGAGAAACAGTACGGGTGAAAGAGCGGATAATATCATGACCAGCATTTTAATTCTATGCAAGTTAGTGGATTCATTCCGATTCAGTTTTTCTATTTCAATGGTTACAGGCATGAAAAGAGCGGAAAGTCAAAAGATATTTTAAAGAGCGAAGCTTAAGGACAAATAAAACACTGCTTATGAATGTTACCGACAATGTTATGGCTATTTAAAACTTTAGTTTTTGAATGTTTCGATTTAGGGTATCAGAGGAAGATTTAAAAATTTAAATTACACTGAAAAATTACAACGGTGTTTTTTATACAACGAGTTTCAGATGCTTTAAGCGCTAAATCTCTTCTGAAACCTGTAAAAACCCTCCGCCGCTTTCTTTTAAGCCTACCTTAGAAAAATTGAGCACCATCTCCTGTACTAGTGAGCGCATCGGCGCAACGTAGATGATTTTAAATTCGTCGCTCGCTATCGATTCATCTTCATTCAAATGTTTACCAATTTCCCGCATCATGCATAGTAAAGCGACGTTAGTCTTTCCGGCACCCTAAAATAGAACTAGTAATTTCTTATCCTACACCTGATTTGATAGATATTTACGGTAGGCGCACAAAGCAACAGATTTCCATCGTCGTACAAAGCAGCTTTTGCAAGCTTCGACTGAATGCGATTTAGTCGCTTATAGCCCATGAACGCAGCCTGTGCAAATTTATCCAGTTCCTCGATGCCAACAAGTTTTTCATCAGCTGCAAACGCTTTTGGTTTCAGCGCAGGTACGTGAACTTCTTCATAACCTGAGAATCAAACACTTAAGAACTACTTTTAGAAAAAAAACTGTAGACGACAAAAACAAGCATTACAAAAAGGAGTATCTAGGATTCGATGGCCGTAAACATAACAGGCCACAGACGTCTTAGGTCTTTATTTTAAAATCACCATTTCGGCAAAATACCATAAGAAACAGCAGCGGTCGACGTTGATATTGAAATGCTTGTCTTCGATTCAAGTTGATTTCTTTTGTATTTTGCGGTTACATAAAATAAATTGCACAACAGGGATTAGTGTAATTGCCCTTTGGTGACACATGAAAATGATTTCTTTCTGAAAGTACAAGTGAATAGATTATGTTACTGATCTTTCTGTAACGGGAGAAACAATGCTGAAATGTGTTACCTTCAAGATCTTCTCAATCATCAGTATCCTACTAAGTGTCTTTGCTGTAAGTATACAATATCTGAGTCAGAGAACGTCGTTGCAACTAAAGCTGTGCATAACTTTCTTTTCACAGGTACTATAGCACTTATCAATTGCTCCAGCAAGGTAATATTCCCTGGCTTAATGAGGAAAGACTTTCGCTGACTGCGATTTGCTTATGTCAGTTGTTAAAATAGCAAAATGTTCGCTTAAGAAACTCTTATACCTACTTCAACACACCATCAGCTCAGTAAGAAATCTACAGGTCAGTTCTATCATTCCATAAAAGAAACTTGAAAAAAATGCTACAGATGCAAGAACGAGTATATATCAGAAATTTGTAACAAACATTTCATGGTCTTTTATCACACTGTTCAACAATCTTTGGCACAGAGCCATTCATGCCCAAAGCAATACCTGTACAAATTCGTGTCCTAGTTTGACTTAAACTAGTGGCATAAGACTGAGCAAGGCATCAAAAACTGTTTGCTATCTCATCGAAGAAACAAATGAAAAACCATTGTTAACTTGAAATAATAATGGAAACAGTGGTTCAAATTGAAAATTTTCACATCATTAGTATATATTTTACATGCAGCGGGTTAGATGGTATGGATTCAAACCCTCACAGCAGTAGGAAAAGTTAAGATAATTAATGCTAAGTTGGAAAGATAAAAACACCTTTTCGCTGTTTTCGAAAAGACCCATCCGGAAGGTGGCAGCGCTTATTGCTCATGAAATGTGAGCCCTGTTGAAAAGTCAGGTCATCGAGATCCAGCATTTCGCGCTGTTGAAACCAAGCACTTTCGTCCAGATCCATATTGGCTTCAACCTCCCTTCTCTGCTGACGCAATTTCGCGCGTCTTTCACGTTCCTTCTATAATACGAAAAAATAATTATACGGAGAATTAAAAATCAT